GGGTTTAATCTGTTAAAACCTCATATGGCGCTTTAAGCATCGCCTTTATATCTTTGAGGCTGACTACGCTATCTTCCTATCGAAACTTTAAAAAGTCTAGAAATTTAGCTATTTCTCTGCTTAGGGGTATCGTTATTATGACCATTGTACTCATCCGACGGTTACATTCATCTTAATTAATTTTTTATCTCACTCAAGAGTATCTTTCTTAATTGATCTTACTATTCTCCCCCTCGAAATATGGCATAAACTTTACTGCCATAATTTCAAGAACTACTCAGGAAAACTGTGACCGAGGTGACACTTATTACTTACTTCATTCACATGATTACGTCATGCAAACAAAGTTATTTCTTGATCCGTATAGGAGTACATTTTCCTCATTCCACTTCAAGAACTCGATGATGTCTTTTATTAACTGTACTTTTGCAAGTCACGCTTGCATCTTTTTTCCTTGTCCTGTGATTAGTATTAACCATGATGGTGCATTTTTATTGTGCCATGGTCAATACTAGGATAGCATAAGAGCTACATAAACTTCTCTCGCTATGCGGGATAAAAAACATAAGTCATCATAAAATTTCTTCCACCATGCAGGATTGACTAGCATAAGTACTATGCCAAAACTTCTCCCCATAGGGGATAAATTTATATACAAATTACACTTATACTTTATTTTTCAATTAAATCTTTCTGTTGGTTCCAATTTAATCATAAAATTAGTAAACTAACAAAAAAATGTCCTAAACTAGCTTGACTCAAGCATTTTCATTCATATACCCCAGCATTGTAGCTCGTCGGTCAAAAAATAAAACTTACAAGATGCTTTTGCATCAATTCTACATCACCGTTGGGCAGAAAATAGAATTAATGCATAAAACTCATAAATTAACTTGAAAGACATATAACTACTCTTCAAAATTAAATTCTCCCGTTGATTCGAATTTAATTAGAAGATAATCAACATCATTGCAGTGAAAACATGAGAATAAAATACATTCTACTAGTTCAGGAGCATTTCTTGTTCCTTATCTACTCTCTGAAAATTGACCATGTTAGTGTAAAATTTATCAGAGATTTAAACTTCAACCTTAAACTCATTATAATATTGTTATCATCGACGTTAGTTAGAAAATAATAATACCATAATTTAACATAAATAAATTGGACTAGTCCTCTAATTTAGATTTTTCCATTCGTTCCAATTTAATTATAAGATAATCAGCATTAAACTTTACAGTGGAAAACTAAAAAATAATTTATCCACTTTTCAGAAGCATTTTACTGTACTCATCTACTCTCTGAAAAACAAAGAATCCCATTGGTTCAAATTTTAACAGAGATTTGCTTCTGAAAATTATAAAACAAAAACTTTCGTTTACTATTCATTCGGCCCGGCCTGATGAAACAGTCGCGGCCCATCTCTGTTGCGCGTCCACACGCGCGGCCCAATGGGGCGTGCGCCCGCTCCCACGCGCCCAGGCCGTAACCTGGACCTGGGCCGAGAAACTCCAAACCCGCCTGGGCTGATTTCGGTCCGAGCGTCCAGAGCCATTCATCTTGATCAACGGCCAGGCAGCGATTTCGGGCGGAATAAAAACTCGCCGCGATGGCTCGGCCCTAAACCCTAGCATCATTTCTTTTGCCCTCTTCTCTCTCTTCGCCATGACTGTCGGCTCTCTCTCCCTTCTCTCTCTAGAACCTCAGCGGTCGGAGATGGTGGCGCCGCCGCGGGGCCCATCGCCAGTGAGCACGCTCGCCCGAGGCTGAGCGTGCCACCGTTGAGCGGCCTTGCATCGTTGCCCTTGACCCCACGTGGCTCTGCTCCCCAAAACCCTAACCATTTCTTCCTCTGCCTTCTCTCTCTTCGCCGCACACGCAGCCGAGCAAAAGAAGAAGAATAGTGGCAGCGGCGCCGCCGCCGCTGGTCCCCTCACCGGCGCGCGCGCATGCCCCAGGCTGAGTGCGCCGCCGTCGAGCGGTCTGGGCGATGGTGCCCTTGCTCGCCCTAAACCCTAGCTTTCCCTCTCTTCACCGCACACCACAGCCGCCATACCCGAGGTCGACGCAGGAGGTGGCGGCGCCGCCGTGGCGCCCTTCGCCGGTGCACGCGTGTGGCCGGAGCCGCGCGTGGCTGAAAGCTCTAGTTTGGTTTTGTTGAATTGATGAAACTCTACGTGCTAACCTAGTTTATCAAAGTGATATGAGATATGTAGCACTACTCCAAGTAATGAAGCAATGGTGAAGATCATGATGATGGTGATGGTATGGTGATGATTAAATGCTTGGACTTGGAAAAGAAGAAAAACAAAAACAAAAAGCTTAAGGCAAACGTGAAACTTGATAGGAGCTTTTTCATTTTGGTGATCGAGACACTTAGTGAGTGTGATCACCTTCAGGATCGATAGCCGCACTATTAAGAGAGGTGAAACTCGTATCGAAATACGGTTATCAAAGTGCCATTAGATGCTCTAACTCATTACATATGCATTTAGGATATAGTGGGGTGCTAACACCCTTAAAAATATTTGTGAAAATATGCTAACACACATGCACGAAGTGTTACACTTGGTGGTTGACACATTTGATCAAGGGTGGTGAAGTTTTGGGTCAAAAGGAGCTATTTCGTATTGACCGGACTCTGCCTTGGGCAGTGACCGGACTATGACTCTGCATCTGGTTAGTGGTGCGTAGTGAAGGCCGCTCTCGGTCCTTTAATCGGACGCTGAGAAGAAATAGGACCGGATGCGCTGGGGGTGCGTCCGGTCAGGTGATGACGTATGCTGACGAAAGCATCTAAACAGGCCAGTAAGGACCAGACTCTGGTCTGCGTCCGATCACCTATGATCGGACGTGTCCGGTCGTGAAAAACCGGCTCTGGTACCTTACTGGAAACGATCGGACTCTAGTGATAGAGCGTCCGGTCACTTTGAGCAATGCGTCCGGTCATAACTTAAGTGCACTGATGACCGTTGAGATCGGGCAATCAACATTTGAAGCCGGGGACACGTGGCGAAAATCTGAGGACCGGACGCTGGGGTCCTGCGTCCGGTCAATCCGACCGGGGCGTCCGGTCGCCCTGATTTTTTAGGGAACAGAGAGCCAACGGCTCTATTCGTGGGGGCTCTCTATTTAAGCCCCATAGTCGGCTCAAACTCACTCTCTTGGCCATTTACATTTACATAGCAACCAATTGAGCTTAACAAAAGCCCTCCCACTCATCTCCATCATTGATTCATCATTTTTATGAGATTGTGAGTGAATCCAAGTGCATTGCTTGAGTGTTTGTATCTAGAGGCACTTGATGTTCGTGTTTCGCTATGGGTTTGGCTTGTTACTCTTGGTGGTTGCCGTCACCTAGATGGCTTGGAGTAGCAAGGATCATCGAGCGAAGGTTGCTGATTGTCTCCGGCTCCGATCGTGGTGATTGTGAGGGGTTCTTGACCTTTCTCCAGTGGAGAGCCATAAGGTACTCTAGTAAATTGCTTGTGGCTTGTGTAATCCTCATCTTGTGTTGGTTGTGCAGCACCCTATTGAGGGTTTAGCGTGTGATGCCAATTAGTGCGTGAACCTCCAAGTGAGTGAATCGCCACAACGAGGACTAGCTTGCCGGCAAGTAAGTGAACCTCGGTAAAAAATTATTGTGTCATCATTTGATTCCGAGGTAATTGGTCTTCATTGGTATTCATTTTTGTGATTGATTGGTTCATTCCTCGACTCGACGGTATAACCATCTTGCTCTCTCTCTCTTATATTACCACAAACTAGTTGTCAAGTTCTTTAGTGTAGCTAGTCGTGAAGAGCTTGTTAGTTTGGTTAGTGTGGCTCTTTAGTTAGCCTTTGAGAGCACACTAACTTAGTGTAGTGACATAGCCATTGTGTGGATAGAGACTATAGAAACTAGAATTATGGTAGGTGATTTGCATTTTTAGTAGGCTAGCGCAACACTCGCTTCGCCTCATATTTGTCTAACCGGTTTGCTAAGTGTTATTGTAGAAATTTTTAATAGGTAATTCACCCCCTTCTAGCCATTAGGACCTTTCAGCGGTGCCGTCGACCGGCACCGCGGTGGTGCTCTTTGCGCCCTACACTCTTGTACGCGACGCCGCAGAGTGCCAGCGAGACGGCGGCTCTCTTCCAGCGTGCACAGTCTTTCCGCACGACGGTGGTACCGCCGCGTGGTGAGGAAGATCCCGGGTAGGTCCCTTCCCTCGCCGACCTCTCTGTTAGGGTTGGGGTTGGGGTTTCTGATCCGATTTGGATCACTTCTTTCTTGATTTCTTTTCTGTTTTCTACCCCAAATTGGATCTACCCACTAGCAACCATGGCTCTGGTACCATTGATGGATCTGAAAGTACTTCTAGGCGTAGATCAGTGGGTAATACTTAGCTTAGATAGAAGACTTGGGTCTCCAAGCACAGTCGCGGCCATGGCTCCGCAGCGACATGGCAACTGGTGTCGGAGTAGGGGAAGTCGTGCAGGCGCGGTCCAGATCGTCAAATGCAGCAGCAGTGCAGGTGCGGTGCTGTGGCGGTGGCAAAGGCGTTGGCGTTTTTCGTCACTCACAGCGCCCCTCTCGATCGGTCTAGGATTAGGAACTTCGGGGTGGGGCTGGCGGCTACCAGTGACCTCATGTCTTGTGCCCCAGCCCTCACCGTCCTTTTATGGCGTTGCGCGACGGGGGCCCATCAGCCAGGAGAACCTGCTGAGCGCACCCGATCAGGGTGCGAATCAAGATCCCAATTAACCGTTGGACCAACCAGTGGAGATATCCTAACAGACCAAGCTAAGGCCGGCCTGCTATTCTGTATGGTACCAAAAGCTCTCCAACAGTTGCTAAACAATTTTGAGGACCTCTGAAATTAAACCACGTTCGCTCTTATACTGAACAACAAGGTTAACATATGCCCTTCCAACATACACGACGGAAGAAAATGATACAAAAACAACAAAACGTACATATAAAACCTATATGCACATAAAACTGCCATAGGGTAGGGTCAACTAGCTAGAGATGAGATGCTTACACCATGTGTTGTGTTGAACTGAACTACACTGACGCAAGGTACCTCCTCACATTCGGAGTAGCCGTTTACTAAGCCTGCAGTGCAATCAGCGATGTAATACAAATTATAGAACGGCAACAGCGACTCGCACAACAAGACTCTTGCGAACCCATAGGGGCCCTGTGCCCAACTGGTGATCTGAGCAGCGCTGGCGCCATGCAATCCGGCCAATTCCGTCTGAGAAAACCGATCCTTGGAAACGATCATCTGGCACATACGCACATTTCCTGGCAGCAAGCTCTGGGACAGATCCATGACGTAGTTGACGCCGTCGCCGAGCGCAGACATGTCCTCGATGCCGCTGCTACCCGAAACCCTACGCCAGAAGCCCGGATTCGGGTTGTTCCTGAGCAACCCTCCGACGATCTTTGCTCCGAAGAAGGACCCATCGAGCTTCTTCGCCATTGCTTTCCCCACCGCCACCAGCCCTGGGCTCTCCTCGAGGTCCCTGCCAGAGAACACGTGCGCCCTGAAAAAGAACCAGTACTCCGGGAATGGCAGCGCCTTCAGCATGATCGGCTTCACTGTCCCCATGGTGGCGACAAGACGATTGTTCGTTGTGACGATGATCTTGCTCCCCTGCTTGCTGCTGCTGCCGCCCGTTCTTGCGTGCAGGAGATCTTCCAGGACCTGCTTCTTGCGCGTGTCCACGTCTTCAAACACCAGCAGGAATCTCTTGCTGCCAAAATCCAACTCGACCAAGTCCAGTGGATTGTTGACGTTGACATCTACTCCTCCTGCATCTCCAATGACATGCTTGGGCCGAAGAACAAACGTTGTTTCACTCCTGGCGGGGGCGGCAGCAGCAGAGGTGTATGAGAATTCCAGCAGCATGATCACCTGGAAGTGGCTGCTCACCCTGGCGTCGTCGCAGGCGTGCTGCACCAGCGTCGTCTTGCCGACTCCAGTGTCACCGACAACAGGTAGCACTGCCAAGCGGGTGTTGTCGTCGTCGTCGTGGAGCAGGAAACTGATGATCCTCTCCTTCTCGACATGTCGGCCAAACATTTGTCCGTGCCGGAAGATGTTGGTGGCCAGAGGTCGACGGACCGGTTGGCAAGTTCCTAGGAGCATGATGAACTCCCTGAGGCCATCACAGACGCCCTGCAACCTCTCTGCAACCCTGTCGATCTCTTCGATGGTGACATCATGGTGTCGTGACAGTATGTTGCACACAGACATCCGCGCCCGCTTTGCAGGATTAAACCGAGATAAAGAGGAAACTACCTTAGCATCATCATCCTCATCACCTTCATCAAGATCATGCTTGATGCAGTCAAGCAAGTAGTTGCCTTGGTACTCAGCGTCTATGAGCTCCGAAAGCCACCGGAGGGTGCCGTCGTTTGCGATCTGCTTCCCTCTGGCCTCTTCTACCGAGCTGTGAATCCTTACGAGCTTGTGGCGTATCATCTGCAGCTTGGCTTCGGTGCTTTGTTGCTGGTGTCTGCAATAATGGCCGATGAGATGAGAGATCACTCTGCTGACGGCATCGCCTACGATGGCAGAGATGATGGTTTCGGCCATGGCGGACTCCTCTATCCAGACTTCCAGAGTGGAAACCTTTCAGGCTACTAGCTCTCAGGATGAAAAATATCTGGATGTCTCATCTGTGGGCTTGAATGCTTGATGGTCACCATCTTTCTTCAACTTATTGCTGCCTTGCTGGTTCAACTTTGAAGTAAACAAACACATAGAGACCAAGTCTGAGAAAAAAAAAAACTGATTCACTAGTGAGGAAGTGGCTAGAAAGACTCAAGGTGTCCTCACATCTAGCCATAGGCTCATAGATCATGACACATCGAGGGGATCAATAGTAAGGTGTTACATGCTTGTGAGACTTTTGAGCGCATTGTTTTTTTATGGCCACACTTAATTGTCTCTTATCAAAATAGCATGAATTAATTAATCAATAAACTGACAATCGAAAATATAGTGCAAGGCTCTGAGCTGCATGAATAAGGAAGGAGTAACAAATAGCCGAGAACTGGTAGCTCATTTGATTTGGTTTGGATGTCCCCGAACAGGTCCTTGTCTTTCCCCTCAGATTAAACCCTACCGTAAGACCAATACATGCACTCATGTGTGATATTTAGTGGTAAAAAGTGCGTTTTCACATAGGAGTAATTATCAAGGTGTGTGTTTTCACATAATTAGAAGATGAACCAATCAAATTACGCGATTAGTATATCTTTGGATTTTTTTTAACTTACCTTCATAGTAGCAGATGAAGAAGAAACTTCCCTCTTCATAGTAGCAGAGATATGCAACTTGGAGGAGGTTGGGTTTGGTCTTGACTTCCACTAGGGACACATGGACTCAGATTATGGGATAAGGTTAAGTTTAGTAAGTAATTATCCAAAAAAAAATAGCAGGGTTGGGTTGTGGGTGGTTACATGGCGAATGGACGTAGTAAATCGCTATTACCATGTCAAAGGTGCCTGCTTCAGACCATACATAGATTTTTGTAACAAGACATTGTCAGGAGCAGAAGAGTCAATGAAGGCAAGCGGTTGTTAACAATAGACCGTCTCCTTCGGATGACCATAAAGAAAGACATTCTTCACGTCCAAAGGCTCGCAAAGCGGGTGGCTAAACTTCATTTGTATCTAGACATCTATTTAATCAATATATATGCAACCCTAACAATGTCGATGTTTCTCAGCTCTCTGATGTTACAACCGTCAACCCAATATTTTTTTTCTCGAATACGCAAAAGATTTACGTATCATTGTAATTAAGAAGAAGAGTTTAACCATACACATGACACGCTTCTAATGAGCGTCCTAGGAGATCTTACAGTTGTGACTGAACCTTTCTAGCAGACTGTTTCGAACTTCGATATTACATCAAAGTAAACCACCGAACTAAGAGCAGCGCACAAACCTACGGTCTTCACTGGTGGTCGGGCGACCCAATATTTTAAACAGCGGACGGAGCCATTTAGTGACGGCCTCTTCTAAGAACTTTAAAAAGCTATAGCGAAAGCTATTTCATTTAGCAGTTGTACATAAAAAAATAAGGTGCTCAATTAGTTATGCACAAAAAACATGGAATTAAAGGAATTTCATAAACAAAAAATACACGAACGAATACATGCTCACGGCTCCAAAAGAACATGTCTCCAGCTGGACCGGAAACAGTAGGATTGCCGAGTGCCTTACGGTTTGCCGAGTGTATTCCATCGGGCACTCGGCAAACACCACATTTACCGTGTGTATTTAATAAAACACTCGGCAAACATATAGCACTCGGCAACAGAAAACTTTGCCGTGTGCCTAATATAAAACACTCAGCAAAAGAAAACTTTGCCGTGTGCCAAATATAAAACACTCGGCAAACTACAAAAAAACTCTCGGCAAAAATGGACACTCGGCAAACTGGAGTCACGTGCGTTGGGCGTGCGGCGGCCATCTGACGGCCGTTGGGTGCGCCGTCCTGCCGTTAGAACTTTGCCGAGTATCCGTTAGAGACACTCGGCAAAGACAAGGTATGCCGTGTGCTTTTTATTGACACTCGGCAACCTAATTGTTTGCCGAATGTTTTTTGTTTACACTCGGCAAAGTAATGTTGTTGCCGAGTGTTTTTTAATGCACTCGGCAAATAAATTTTTTTTTCTCTCCTGCTCTCCAAACTTTTTCTACTGTCCACATACATCATGTGGTACTACATGTTAAAATTTGATATATTTCTCCATCTATTTGCTATATTTAAGTAATTTATTGTATTTAGAGGAATTTTTTGGTTTAAGTCAAATTTGAACTGAAAGTTATACAAATAATATAATAAATTGAGTGGAGAAATCATATTCATGTTATTGAGTCCATTTTGGGGCCTTACTAGGAAAATGAAAAGAATTTTCGAACATTTGATTCAGGAAACACGACCACGAACCGTGTGGCCGGATGGTTTTTAAATTCTAAAAAAAGCAAACGAAGTTTGAAAATGATGAGATTTGTCAAGATCTCCTGGTATCATACGTGGAGACTATGAAAAAAAATTGAGAAGGTTTCGCACAATTTGTCACGTAAGACCTTTACAAACAGAAGCATCTCCGTACAAGAATCGTAGCGTTTGGAAGGATCCGATAAGATTTGGAATCAAAGTGACGGTCGAATAGGGGTTTGACTTCAAAACTTTTTGTATAGGCAATAGACAACATAGATTGGTTCATGTCAAATTTTGGTAATTTTTCAGATCAGTTTGATAATTTAAATTTATTAACTGCAAATATAAAATTTTAATCGGGGTTTGACTTCAAAACTTTTTGTATAGGCAATAGACAACATAGATTGGTTCATGTCAAATTTTGGTAATTTTTCAGATCGGTTTGATAATTTTAATTTATTAACTGCAAATATAGAATTTTAATTATATATATTGAATTTGAGCTATAACTGCATGAAATAATGGATTAATATTCGTAGAAAAATCAAATATGCATTGAGTGAATTTGACAAGGTATTTTTAAATTACATCGTAACAAATTTAGTAGAACACGGTATGAAGAAGGAGGACGGTGGAGCATGAAATATCGATTTATTTCGCCGAGTGTCATACAGGGGACACTCGGCAACTTAGGCGACCGGCCCCACTGGAACATAAAAAAAATAATGCCGAGTGCCCCAGTTCTTGGCACATGGCAAAATATAGATTTATTTTGTCGAGTGTTTTGTACCTGACACTCGGCGAAAAGAACAGTTGTCGAGTGTCATATAAGGGACACTCGGTAACTTCGTCGACCGGCCCCACTGCACAGTATCGGCCCGTAATGAAACATTAAAAAAAATAATGCCGAGTGCCCCAGGTCTTGGCACTCGGCATATTCGTTCATATACACCCGCCCCACCGCGCCCCGCCGCGCCCGGCCCTTCACACACACGCCGCACCGCACACCACCACCCGCCGCCTCCCGCCCCCCGCGCCCGCACACCCCCACCGGGCGCTGCATCGCTGCGCGCTCCGCTTCCAACCGCCTCGCCCGCCACCCCCGCCGCCGCCGGCGCCCGCCGCCCGCCATCAGCGCCGCCCGCCCCCGGCGCCCCGCCCCGCCACCGGCGCCGCCCGCCCCGGTAAGATTTTCTAAATGCGCCGCCACCTGCAGGTCCATTACTTCACTGTCATTCAATAAATCAACATACTCACTAACGTAAGCAACACTCATATACATTAAACATACAACAATCAACAACTCAACAATTATTCAATGGTTTATTACATCATTCGTCAAAATAAAGAAAATAGCAGAAAAGCATAGATTGTAGTCATCCAGATTCGCCTCTGTCAAATAGTGGTGTTAACGGAGCTAAAGCATTGTGAGCTACAAACAGTGGAATAATTGACAATGTCATAGTGGTAGGTCCTCTGAGAATGCTGCAACACTCTACTTAGAACCCTGCAGCAACCACATCTTCGTTAAGAATTTAGGCAAAGTATGCAGGCTGATTTGGTGCCCGTTATCGCGTCCAGTAGTAGGTACACAGAACTAGGTGAAAAACATTTCCACCGTCTGCCCATTATACCACAGCAATTCCAGAGTCTGCAGATTATATAAATGAAACATAGAAGTAGGCATTACATATTGTGCACTTCCGCTAACACGAGCTGATAAGTGGAGTAACAGTTTCAGGCTATCCATGATGACAGGAAAGGCCTCAGCATGACAACTGAAGTCAAGGGCCCGCAACTTCTTACAGTTCAAAAATAATGCTTCTGGGTTATTAACAAAGGTCTCCACAATGATGGCCCTAAGAGAGTGTGATGTAATTTGAATCTCCATGGATGTGATACCACAAGTTACAGACATATACTGAACATTTTGTGGAATAATTTCAGTTGATGTACCTCCTCCAAATCTATAGAACTCTTCTCCAGCAAGAAAACAAGCAAAGTCATGGATAAGGTCATGCAGGAAGTACTCGCCACCACCTTCAGGAACCACGGTAGACCGCTGAACTAACTCATTCAAATACAACCCTCCAGTTTTTTCCTCACTTCCATCACCGCGAAGAAAATCAAGTACTTTCCACGATTGCATCACATCGTACATCCCAAATGAACGAACCTTTGGAAACAGAGGTAGGGCAAGAAAACATCTTCTCAGGTATATGGGCATGTGCTTGTAGCTCAACTCTAGTCAAATATGAGTATTATGCTTAATTAATACCTTAAAAAAATCGCACTAAAACGTTGATTTCTATCGAAGAAATCGGTACATAATATATAAAAAGAAAGTGGTACATAGAAAGTTAGTGTACTAACCCTAGGCATGGTACATAGAAAGTTAATGTACTACACAGAGTTGTACTACATGTAAGGTATTTTTAAATTGAAATTAGTAGTGTGTTAAGAAGCATTCCAGGATGAGAAATTTTAGGGCGGGAAGGGACTGTGAACGATACCCCCGAATCATTTTTTTCTCTCTGAGCCTTGTTCGTTTGATCCCAATCAAAGGGATTGGAGAGGATTGAAGGGGATTGAGGTCCCTCAATCCCTTCCAACCCTCTTATTCCTGAAATAAAAAACAGGCCCGAAGGGATTCACATTCCTGCTTATTTTTGGACTTTTGCTAACATTTTTCAGTTTTCATACCATATGTTTTCTTTTCTGGCATGTTCATTTGCTGACTGGTTTTCTTTTTAGATGCTGATGACCACATTTCTAGAGGCAGATTCTTGTACCTGAGTCCTTGAAATTTTCTTATACCTCTGTTAATGCTACTTGTACCATCACTCAAGCATGTTTACCTATTCTTTTGCAACTATATATGCAAGGAAGAAACCCTTTGCACTCCATATGTGAGCTGATGAGGTTGCAATGCGATGCTCATCAGTAAAAACAAAGTAAATGCTTTCCATGTAGGACTATTTGATTCGCACTCAGAGTGACATAATAAACATTTACTAATTTACATGTTGTATCGAATTCCAGGCAGAGGAGCAATGGGGTGGCTGGAGTGCTAGCTGTGTTCTGGGGAAAATGGGGCATCCAAATTTCTTGCTGTCCCAGTATTCTTTGTTGCCGTTCCAGTTCAGTAGCAAGGATGCCTACACCAGAGCTAGCTGATTTCGTCGTCACTCTCTGTCTGTCTGATGGCTTGTCATGTGTTTAGATGGGAAACAACGGCGTATGACCGTATGAGTAGGGTCTGCATAGGCTACCTCGGTTCGCCTGTGCAAAGGGCGATTTCACTTCACTAACCACTTTTTGCAGAGGGGTTATGGATGGCCCTAACCTACATCACATGCTAATCCTGCCACTCGTCCGTCCTTGATGGCATCTGTGTTGTGTGTGTGACAAATGGACTGGATATCCATATCTAGGCCTGCTGCTGAAACAATCATAGTATCATATATACAACTTCCATCAGGACATGCAGCCATGCAGGTGCCCACATGAATAATGCTTGACCTGCACGTATTATTTCTCAGTATGCTCCATTGGATGGAAGACTGATTTGATAAGCAAGGAAAAGAATCTACGCATCACTTGTACAGGAAGCCGCAAGAAATTACTACGGATAAGGCATGCATTTCAAAGGCTGCTGCTGCTTTCTCCTCCAACTGAAAGACTTGCCATGCTCATCCTATCACTTGTCCCTCTCTGTTCTTTTCCCCCCATTTCTGACAATTAGCTAGAAAAAAAAAGATGATATAGATTCTTTTCCGAAGAAGAATCATTCGGAGGAACAATAAAGTTGAAAGATTTATCCTCCTTTTTTGTAAACCAATTCACAGAGGCAGAAGAAATATTATCTAAAAAAACAGAGGCAGAAGAAATCCATAGTTCAGGACGCATCACTTTCATCCCTTCTTGTTTCTAGTAAAAAATCTTTATTTTTTCAATCAATTTAGAAGCACAAATCCAACATTCAGGATGCATCTCTTTCATCCTTTTTATTTCTAGTCCACAACGCGCCAGGTCGCCAACAGAATCAACAGTCTTTGATTAGACGGCACAATCACCAGAAACAGGTCCTATCCAATTCTAGGTAGGGGATCAATGGCTGGAGGGCTCGCTGTGTATTGGGTTAACGGGACATCCAAATTTCATGGTCGCAGCATTCTTGCTGTTCCAGAGTTCAAGTTCAGTAGTAAAGTGCAAGGATGCCTACATCAGAGTTTATGTCGTCGTCACTCTCCGTCTGATGGAGTAGGGTCCACATAGGCTACCTGGTCTCACTGACGACAACATCGCCTCTGCAAAGAGCGATTTCACTAACCATTTGTTGCATGCAGAGGGGTTATGGATGAGCCTGACTTTACATCACATGCTAATCCTGCCACTAGTCCATCTCCGTCCTTCAGCCTGTTCATTTCGGCTGAAACGATCGTGGATTATTACTGCTGGCTGGTTTGGTGTGAGAGAAAAATATTGTTCTGGCTTATAATCCACGATCGTTTATGACCAAACGAACAGGCTGCTTGAAGTGTGCTGTGTGCATGATAAATGGACTAGATATCCCTCTTTCCTTCTCTAGGCCTGCTGCTGCAGTATCATGCAATTTGTATCAAGGACGTCCACACAAGAATAATGCCTGACCTGCACGTTTTCTCTCTTCGTATGCTCCAATGGATGGAAGACAGATTTGATGAACACAAGAAAGAATCTACGCATCAACGATTGTGCAGAAAGCTGCAAGAAATTGCTACGGATAAGGCATGCATTTCAAGTGTTGTTGCTGCTGCTTTCTCCTCCAACTAAAAGACTTGGCCATGCTCATCCCATCACGTGTCCCTCTCTGTTCTCTTTTCTCCATTTCTGCTAGATAGATGGAAAAAAGGATGATATAGATCCTCAACAAAGTTGAACGATTTATCGTCTTTTCTTCAACCAATTCACAGAGGCAAAACTCCATAATTCAGGACGCATCACTGTCATCCCTTCTTGTTTCTAGTCCAAAATCTTTTTTTTTAATCAATTCATAGGACGCATCACTTTCATCTCTTGTTATTTCTAGTCCAGAACGCGCCAGGTCACCAACAAAATCAACCGTCTTTGCTTACACGGCACAAGCGCCAGAACACAGGTCACTTTCACCCAATCTCAGAGACGCACCTCTCTTCACCACGAATCAAAAACACTCTCTTCATCACGAATCAAAAACACCACTACACCAGCAGTACAATTCACACACACAAAAAGAAAGAGCACACCAGAATTTCCCCAAATATCTAACTGCAACCATATATTATATCAAGTAAACAAACAGGTAGCAACACATAAACTAATGCCTGGATTAGTCTAAGGTTAGATTAGATGCAGAGTACCCAGAGGCCCACTATAATACCATGGTTCAGGGACCTCTGCTCATGGATTTTATATATTACAAACACCAGGGCATGACAAGGCTGTGGAACGGCACCACCAGCCTAAATCATGTCCCCCATGTTCACCAGCCAATCTTAGAATATTGGTTTCTCTGTCAAATGAAGGCAATCAAGCATGTTCGTGGCAATCTGTTTGAACTGATAAAGAACAAGAATAAACACAGGACCGGACCCCCATGTTTGAACTGATCAAGAATCTGCACGCAACAGCATGATATAGGCATGCTCATGTGTGCCTTTCAAAAAGGAGCCTACTTTTTTCCCCATTCCTGAAAAGACAGGCACAATTGTACATAATATATGCACCATGCAAGACTATGGCATATTCTGCTGCTTGCATCCCTATCTAGCTTACCCGTACATAAGCATCATCGACAGAACAACCAATGCCAATCTGTTACTTCAAGGTTTAGAGATAGCTATCAAGCATACAGAGACATCTGGCAATGCCAGACTTGAAGTAAAGCAATGATCGATAAGTTATATTCACAGAAATTAGTGTCTGACCAAGTCAATACAGTATATAGGGAGGAGGAAGAAGAAAAGAAGGTGATCCTCTATAATATGACTATGATATATTAAAAAGAATATCTCCGTAGGCGGTGCCATCTGTCGGATCACTCGGGGGATCAGCTGCAGGATAAGTGAAGTGATTTTCACTGTCCCACACAGCATCATCCGCGAGAGACGCATACATCAAAAGCCGTCTCTAATCATTCATCTATAGTGAGACACATGCTGCTGACTCCAATCTAGTAGGGTAGAGTAGTTCTAGTTCCCGACCGGCATGCGCATCCATAGAGATACCTCAGTAGCGAAATGCTGACCACAACACATGGTGAATGACTCAAAAGTCCAACACGGTCGAGGTCATGTTCATCAGCCGTCCCAAAGCATTAGGAGCAAACTTCCTCGCGAAGAGGTAGCAGACAGAGGTGGGCTTTGAGTTGTAAAAGCATTGTGTTCCATTATTCCTGATGGCCTGGATGAACTCTTCTGTGATGTCTGCAGCACCATAACTTGCTGGATGCGGGCCTCCTCTTGACCAATCAACCCATGTGATGGTCCTGTTGGCGTTGAGGGGCCCATGGAACAAATGAAGATAAGTCGGTATGTAATGCTCATCTGGATAACAGGATGGCCTGCAGTGCTTTCTGAAGATCGAGTAGTACTTGTAGTCTGCTACTATCTGGACAGCCAACTCACGGTTAAGCTCAAACCACTCTGACCCTTTCCTCCATTGGTCTGCCATGATGTGAGGAGCCATGCGACGGTTGTACCTGCCAGCAGACTGAGGGGTGTCGATGTTGTAGGACTCAACGAAACTGTGTGCCGAGTTGATGAGGTACTCGTAGACAGTCGGGAAGTTGAACACAGGAATGCAGCTCTCTGAAAGCAGCACAAAGCGCTCATTTGAGAAATCCAGCAAGGCATTGGCCAGCAGGCGCTTCTCAGCATCCACCAGGGTTATTGATCCCCAAGACACCTCCTGCATTGGAAAGAAATTAAATATTAGAACGTGGAAGAACAAAGGTATCCATCGATAATGGGCATAAACTGCAAGTGCACGATAAGGAGAGTAGTGCTGTGAGACAAAGAAGGAATGCACACATTACAGTGAAACAGGAGAAGCACTACTTTAGCACAAAAGGAATAGAGGAAAGTAATAAATCATGATTGCAGGTCAGCCTGAACTTGTTGACTGATTACTATTGTTTTTTTAGTAAAAATAACTGAAGCAGAACATTTGTCAAGCAAGAATCTCATCACCACTTATCTGAAATTCGTGAATGCCACTAGTTGTTGAACAAATTAAGTAGTTTACCAACCTAGCATTGGGACAAGCAAGCAAGCATATTCTCCCCCTCCCCTACTAGAGCAAATCCTCAGCCATTTGCACACAACATATCCCAATCAAGTTGGGCACATGGCAGCCACCAACTAGCATGACAAGTGGCCACCAAGCCACTAAACCAGATTTTTTTATCTTCTTTTGCACAAAGGCAACAATAATGCGATGCAAATTCCCAAGCTGATGGATTGCAATGTGCTACTACTTGCTAGTGATGATTCATGCCATGGTGACAACAAAACAGGGGAATGGATGAATTATCATTATCAGTCTAGTTTTTTTTGGACAATGATGGATTGATTGTATTGTATGAATGTAGTAGCAAAAGGGGGAAAAACAAAGCACCAGCAAAGGCAAAGGCAATACCTCGCTTGGGATCTGTCTGCCGTAGAAGGCGGAGCTCTTGGAAACATTGAGCTTATAGTCCGGCACGGTGTGGACGTAGACGGAGTAGAGCCCCTGGTGATCGCGGAAGAACTTGTCCCAGAGCGGCGCGAAGGGGATGGGCCCGCGCGCCATGAAGAGGAAGGCGACCTTGGGCACCCGCTGGAAGGGAAACTCCTCGGCCTTGGGCACGAGCGAGGCCCGCCAGAAGAGCTCGTCGTCGGTCATGGAGTGCGCGAGGCGTGGCGGGTGGACGAAGGCCCTGAAGGCGAGTCCCATCCCGCAGTCCCGGTCCCGCGGGTCGCAGCCGTAGGTGGTGGCCGGGAAGAAGAGCTCCGCGTGGGACGCGTTGTAGTAGTAGCGCGCCACGCTGCCGCTGACGGAGAGGCCCAGCACGACGCCGCCCATGAAGATGACGGTGGCGGTGACCAGCTTGAGCAGCCCCGTCGACCACCAGTAGTCCTTGCGCGGGGTGGGCGGGAAGTAGTCGGATTCCTCGTCCCCGGCTGTGGGTAACCCCCCGACGCCGACGCCCGTGCCGCCCCGGGACTTGAGCATCTGCTTGGCGTTGGAGTCGCCGCCCCACATCTCGGCGGGGAGCGTGGCGGGCGTGGGCGGGGGTAGATCGGGCGGGATCGGGATCCCGCCGCGGCCGATCTCCGGCCCGCGCGGAGAGATCGGGAGCGGAGGAGGCGGCGGGTGCTCGGGGGCGTCGGATGGACGCCTCTTGTAGGGGCAGCGCCGCTGCTGGGGCTCGACGGCGCCGACGAGCCGAGCCGAGCCGCGCGCGCAGGTCGGCACGGGACGCGGCGCGGTGCGGAGGGGAGGACGCTTAGCGGCTAAGGAGGGAGCGAAGGGAAGGGAGGGGAGCGGAGCGCGTGGAGGAGGAGGTCGCTGTCGATTGGTGGATACGCAGCTGGATGTGGAGAGGGAGGGGAAGGGAGGGGGGAGAGTGAGCCACGACGCGACTGGGCTCGGGGGGAGCGAGCGCGTGTATTTATCGGAGGAATGGCGAAGGCGACCCCGCGACCGCGAGCGAGATTTCTCTTTCTCGGTGAGGTCGCCGCGGGCGGCGAGGAAGAAGAGGCGGAGGAGGTCAGGAAGGGAAGGGAGGAGGCGTGGAGGGGAAAGGGGCCCCGGAGCAGGGGCGAAACGGTCAGAAACGCGGGCGGGGCCCGCCGCGCAGACCCGCGGCCGCGGGTGGCGGACCGCGGGGCCTGCAACGTGTCCGCGAGGAAAAGAAAAGGCTCCTTGGACCTGGCTGGAGGACAACTGGACAGGGAGGGGAGCGCGTGGAGGAGGAAGGCTGGAAGGGAAAGCGGGCTGCGTCCGTATGGGCCGGCGGCGTGCGGCGTGCGGCGAGGGCGACTGACGGTGGGCCAGCACGTGTCCCCGTAGGGAGGAGAAAAGAGGGCCCACGCGGCGTGGAGAATTCGCGGCTCATCACGCGCTTTGCTCCCCCGCTGCGTGGAGGTGGCGTTTGGCTGGGTGACTAGTGCAAGTGGAGTGGAACGGTCGAGGCGGGAGTGGGGCCCGCTCGCCGGTGGCGCGGGAACGCGGCGTGACAGGTGCCTGAGCGGCTGTGCCGTTTTTAGTTGCGGACTTTGTTTGACCATATTTGTTGCTATTTTTCTCTCAAAAACAAATCACGTTACAAACCTAGACACTCTTACATATTCGAACCTAGGATTTTTGTGGCCTTGGAACAAACACAAATGTGGCCCCGGTATCTTAGACAAATAAAATACTCCCTCTATTTCAATTTATTGGTCGGTTTATCCTTTCTCGATACACAATTTTTATTATGTATCTAGATATATCGTATATCTAAGTGTATAAAAAAAGGATTAAGTCCACTTTTGGCCCATCAACTCTTGTATTGGTCTAATTTTAACTCTCAACTACAAAACCGTCTAGTACCGGTACCCAAACTGTCAAAACCGTTCACTTTTAACACCTTGGCGGGGGCAATGCTGTTTTGACCGACGTTGAGCGGTTTTGACTATGCCACACTGGCGTTGACCGCCACGTAGGACGCTGGCTTGCATCTCAATGACATGCGGGGCTCGATGACGTCCACTTCACCGCCGCGCTATCCCGCCGGCTATTCCCTCCTCCCACGCCTTTGCCTCCGCCCGCTGCCGAAGTTCGTGGAAGAGGACCTGCCATGACGGTCGGTAAAAATCTCTGATGAACCGACCTTCCGCGGCTATAAAGCCAGCCATGGCCACCATCCAAGAGCGCCTCACCGAGCTCCATCGTCCTCTGCTCTGCGCCGTGCTCTCCTCTGCCCTCCTTCTCCTTCTCTCCCTTTCCTCCTCCTCCTCCACTCTCCCTGCTTCCTTTCCCTGCCCGTGTCGACGCAGCCCATGACCACCACGGAGTCGCCCAGCGCCCTCCACCACGCTGGAGTCGTGGCCATAAGCCATCATCACGCGTGCCACCCTGCTCTGCTCGCTCACACCGGCCTTCCCATCTCCTCTGCTCCGTCTTTTCTCTGTAATCCCTCTACTCCGTGAACGCCGCTGCCCTACTCCATCTCGCTCGCCCTGCACCGCACGCCGCCCTACGCCCTCCTTCCCTCCCGACTCCCTTTCTCTCTCTTCTTTCCCTCTCTTGCTCGCCCTCCCCCTTCCCTTGCTCTAGTGCTCGGGTGGATGGAGGGCAAGGTCGCTGCCTCCGCCCTCCCTGCCCGGTCACGATGACCTCCGCGACGTCGGGATCCGCCTCATCGACCTCGCGCGCTCCGTGCGCGTCCACTTCTCCTAGGCTGGCGGGCGGCACCAGTGGCTGGGACCACCACCTCTTCCTTCTGATGCGCGGCGAGGCGAGCTAGGCGCGCCACGGCGTGACGCACGGAGGATCGGCTTGCCCGCCCTGGCAGATTGACGTAGAAGTCCGGCGGAGGCGACGTAGAAGTACCGCGGAGGCGACGGACGGTAAAGCGACGAGCCAGCGTCTCCTCTGCTTCCGGCCGACTGCGCCGCCGCCCTAAATCCGCCGCCTCTAAGCTGCCCCGGACCGATTCCTTGGCCACCAGCACCTCCTCCGCCCCGTCGACCTCTCCGACACCTCATCCTTGGCCATCGAGCGCGCAGGGCGGTGGCGCTCGAGCAAGTTGCGGCGACAGCGCGCGTCCACCTCGTCCCCTGTCACAAGTGGCGCCACCGCCGGTGCTGGCTACTTTGATCTCCCGCCCGCCGTCGACTCGTCCAGCAGCACCTAAAAGCATCTAGGCCCCTAGTTGGGTTTCGATGATTAATGACAATACATGATTACTATAACTAACGTGTGTTTTGCAGAGGCAATTAAGTTAGGTCATGGTAATGGAGATCGATTGGACAATCATGGTTGTCATGCCGCTACGATGGAAATTGTTTCGGTTTTCAAATGATGGACGACAAGGTTAAGGATGGACTAGTTCTAAGTGTCGTTTGGAGTTGAAGAGACACTTAGAGTAGTTTAGGACTTTGTTTTTCCTTTGGCCGTACAATTAAGGGGGTATGGACGGGTAGCTTGACCTAGGTGAATCTAGTGAGTTAGGTGTGGTGCACACTTGCTAAAACTAGCACTAGGTAGCTCCAAAATAGCCCTTAGATCCAATGGAGTAAACTTCATTCACGTATGATCGAGAGTTGGAAGTGAATAGAGGGTCAAATACTGACCGGACGCTAGTTCCGGTGTGACCAGACGCTGGCGCAGAGTCCGGTCAATTCATTTGACCAAGGTGTTTTCGTCTGGTGCGACCGGACGCTGAGAGGTGAATTGACCGGACGCTGAAGTCCAGCGTCCGGTCGACTCCAGTAAGGTTCTAGAGAGGAAAAATCACGAACGGACGCTGTCCAGCATTCAGTCACACTTTAAACACTGGAGTTCGGGGTGAACTGACCGGAGCGTCCGGTTAACATGACCGGAGCGTCCGGTCACCTCGCAGAGGCACATAACGGTTCGTTTTTCAGCCGGTATTATAAATACTCCCTCCACTCGTGTGTGGGGGTACTTTTGCTCATTCCAACAGCTGAGGAACACCTTTGAGAGTGCCAAGAAAAGCAAGGTCCTAGTGAGGTGATTGAGATTTGAGAATCCCAAAGAGAGCCCTCATTAGTAAGATCAAGAGTAGCAAAATGTGCATCCACCCTTCTCATTAGGCCTGTCGTGGTCAAGTGAGAGTTCGTGCTTGTTACTCTTGGTGATCGCCATCACCTAGACGGCTTGGTGGTGATTAGGAGCTTGGTGATCATCCGGAGAGCTTGTGGATGACCCAACTCAAGTTATGAGCGGTTGTGGGTGATTCACCGCGACGGAGTGTCGAAGAATCAACCCGTAGAGAGCACTTGATCCTTGCGCGGATCAAGGGGAGCTACACCCTTGCGCGGGTGCTCCAACGAGGACTAGTGGAGAGTGGCGACTCTCCGATACCTCGGCAAAACATCGCCATGTTCCTCCTTCTCTCTTTACTTTGACCAATTCAATTCTTGTCATTTACATTCCTAAAATTACTATGCTAGAGTAGGATTGAAACTTAGGTTGCTAAACTTTTGTGCGTTAGATCAATAGAAACATTTTCTAGGCACAAGGGGTTAATTGGGCTAATCGTAGAGTTTAATTATTGCAAAAAAAAATTTAGAATTAGCTCAATTCACCCCCTCTCTTGGGCATCTTGATCCTTTCAATTGGTATCGGAGCCTCGTGCTCACGTATTTAGGCTTAACCGCCTAGAGAAAGATGTCTCACGAGGATGGATCTCTTCCTATCTTTGAGGGGAATGATTTTCCTTATTGAAAAATTCGCATGGAGGCGTACTTAGAAGCTCTAGATGTTGAAATACTTAGAGCCGCCTCATAAGGTTTCCCAAAACCTAAGGATGCTACACACCTATAAGGCGATGAGGTGAATTATGAAAAATTGAATGCAGAGGCTCGAAACACCATCTTTAGAGGCCTTTACAAAGATGTGTTCAATCGGGTGAGGAACCACAAAGGCGCCCATGCACTATGGTCGGATGTTTGTGCGCTACATGAGGGAACAAAGAGTGAGCGTGAGGAACGCTATCATCTTTTCATGAAAAAGCTTAACTCTTTTGAGATACTTCCCAAAGAATGTGCTAATAAGATGTATTCACGTTTGAATGTTCTTGTAGAGGAAGTCAATGGGCTTGGACTCACTCAAATACAACCATCCGATGATGTAAGAAAGATTTTGAGTGTCCTCCCCATTGATAAATATGGGCATATTGTGACCGTGCTTCATCAAGGTGATCTTTTCACCGCTATACCGACACAAATCTTGGGAAAGATCAATGCTCATGAGATGTATATGCACATCACACCACAAGATGGCTCATCCTCTATCAAGAAGAAAGATAAGGACTTAGCATTCAAAGCTAGCCAAGAGAAGGGTAAAGCAAGACTTGAGTATGAGAGCTCAAGTGATGATGAAGTTGATGATGCAAGTCTTGCTCTCATGGTGAGAAAAACCGCCAAGATGCTAAAGAAGCTCAACAAGAGTGACATCAAGTTCGATGGCAAGAAGAAGAAGTTCTTCACTAGCTCTAGAAGTAAGCCAATCTCCGAGATAAATTGCTACAA